AATGCCAGCTTTGGTACCTATGAAAGTGAAATCACCTTGATAAGGAGAGCAGGAAGATGGAAGCATTTCTCTAATTTTATTTTTACGTTGTATGGACATCTTGGCTTGGACTCTTTGAAAAAGGAGGAGCCTGAGCAGTGCTGTGCCATAATTGAACGTAGAACAAACAGTGCAGCCCATATTTGGTTTCAAAAGCAAGAACCTTCAATCCTGCCTTGTTTTTCAGCCGGGTGTAGTGGGGCAGATGATTGAGGCCGCTGAAGAGCGCCCGTGGCTCTGGGTAGTCTACATTTTGACTGTGGCTCTGCCTGTGTTCCTCGTTATCCTCTTCTGCTGTTCTGGAAAGGTATGAATTATCATTATTGTTGTTATTTTTTGGCATCACTTTTAGAAAGAACTCTTAATGATGTTAAAAATAACGAAGATATGTTGCCTGAAGTTTTCTTTGTAGCAGCTCAGTAATGATGGGGCCACATTTGGTGTTGACTTCTGAAATTTTATATTCACTACTCCTCAATGGCCATTTATTGTGCCCAGATGGGAATAGAATTTATAGCCCCTCGGTTGCTAGTATTATTTATCCTGCTGTATTTCTCTCTGTAATATTTGGCAGCAACTTTCTTAAAAAAAATAAACTTAGATATAAAACCAGCTATCTGGGAACAAACCAGCTTTTTCTCCTTCCATAGGTATTTCTGTTATTATACTTGATAATTAGATCTTTGATTTCTCATTATCCATTCCTCCCTCACCAACCCCCCCTCCCAAAACAATACATGTGGAAGTACTACAGCCTTATTGTTAGTTTTTCTTGTTTAGCCCTTGTTACATGCAATCATAAAAAAAGAATATCTTGTTTAGGCTCTCTACTTCTGAGTGAGGATTATGCTTCACCTTGCATTCAAAACACTGTGTAACTGGATCCAAAGTTCTTTTTCCAGCCTTACTCTCTACCACTGTTCTCTCTGTGTCTCAGTCAACTTGACTGTTTAGACCTGTACTTTCCTGCCTGACCCTTTTGTTCATACTGTTCTTTCTACCTTGAACCACACACACATTCAATGAAGAGAAAGCTATTCGGGGTAGGAATTGATATCTTACTCATTTCTATATATCTACCCCTGTATACAGCCTAAAACAGAACTTTGCCAGTGCCTGTAGGCATTTGGTAATTATGCGATAACATACTATATGACAATGTAAACAAAATTGTTGCACTTCGGGGAATATTTCAGAGACAGCCCAGTGCTGTGGAGTACAAGAAGACTGATGCTCCACAACCAGATGTGAAGGAAGAGGAAGAAGAGAAGGAGGAGGAAAAGGACAAGGGAGATGAGGAGGAGGAAGCAGAAGAGAAACTTGGTAAGAAGTTGACCCCAAAACCCTGCTTTAAGCCAAGACCCTAAGATGTTATTTTCAAACACTTACAATCAAGTTACAGTAAAGATTTTTTTTTGGATCTCGAGATGTATTCTGATGCTATTTGCCTAATCACCAAAACAAGTATGAGGTTTTGCTTAGTTGTTTAACTTCTGTCTTAGAAGAGAAACAAAAAAGTGATGCTGAAGAAGATGGTGGCACTGTCAGTCAAGAGGAGGAAGATAGAAAACCTAAAGCAGAGGTAAAAAAAAGGAGTTACGCATTTTGTATTTCCAAATCGAAGGTACATTTAAGTAAAGGGAATGTTTTTATAGGGTAGTTTACAATGGCTTGTAGCAGTAAAAGTTCTCTTAGTGCCAGTTTTGTTGAAGTGGGATTTTTAGTTATGTAAGTATATAAATCAGCATTTCATTTGATAATTTTAAGCTGTATTTGAATCTCAGAAGTATTTTTTTGTGCTGAAACCGGCTTTCTGGATTAAGCAGAAGGTTGTAGAGGACAAATAATAAAATACTTTCTAAGATGGGAACTTTAAATTATTATTACAGTTCTGTCTCATCTACCTCTTCTCGCTGTTCCCTGAAAAGTATTTCTTGCACAAATCACTACATTCTATATATTTTGTCCCTGGTTTCCAGGGATTAATGGCTTCATTTAACAGATATTGAGTGCCCATTTTGTGCCAGGCATTGTCAGCAAATAATACAAAGATACCTTGCCTTTGGGGAGCTTAAATTCTAGTTGGGGGAAACAGGCAATAAACAGTAGACATTCTAAGGAAGTAAATGACACTATATTTAGGAACTGATAAGCTATGAAAAACTAGGACTGGAAAAGGTGTTGGAAGTGTTGGAGGTGGGGTGGGTCACAATGTTGAAGACCTCATTGGAAAGATAACATTTGAGCAAAGACTTGAAAGAGAAAAAGGACTTTTCCATGAGGATGTCAGTGGCAAGAGTATTCCAGGCAGAGAGACCTAAGTGGTTGTCCACAGGCCGGTATGGCCCGTAGAGTGAGAGAGAGTGGAGAAAAAGAGAATGGGGAAGGCTCCTAATTAGGTGGAACTCATAGGCCATTGTATGGACTTGGCTTTCCTTCCTAGTGAAATGGGTAGCTGTTGCTTTGGGGCACAGATGTGACAGGATCTGATTACTGAGGCTGCTGTGTTTTCTGTAGACCAGGGAGAATCATGGAGACCAGTTAGGAGGCTCCTATAATAATCCAGGCAAGATACAGTGGCCCTACGCAGGGTGCTCGGAGGAGGAGGGTGTGAGAAGTAGTTGAGGTTCTGGATCTAGGTTTCGTGGTGGTTGGGTATATGGGGTATGAGAGAGAATAGTCACTGTACCTTGGCTTACCTGGAACTCTTTTTAGCACCTCTGTGTTTGAGTCTAGTCCCTCCTTCAAAGCTCTGTCCATTTCCAGCTACCACAGCTCTGCCTTTCTATTGATAAAGATCAGTGCTGTTTATATCTTGATTATGTTTTCAATGGATGTGTTCTGTCTCCACAAGAATGCAGTTCTTGAAGGTAGGGACCACATCTCACATACTTTTTATATCCCCCAAACAGCCTCATGTGTTAAGTTGCTGGTACATTTAAGCAAAGGGAGTATTTTCATAGGGTAATTTACAATGTTAAGAACTTATGATAGGGTAGAAAGAGCATTGGGCTTGTAGTCTACTTGGATAGTCTTCAGTCTTCATGGATCCTCAGTTTCTCATCCTCAAAATGGGGCTAATGTACCCATGGGCCAGTAGATTAGGATTAAGCAAGATAATGTAAAAGCCCAGTGCCTTATCCTTTTTTAAGAAAAGGTTTATGGGTTAGATTGAGAAAAGTATACGTTATGGAACAAAAAAGACTAAACTGAATTAGTCTGCTACCTCTGAGACAGCCATTATTTTTGGTGCATTTTCTTCTAATTATTTTTCTTGATTTTTCCTCAGATGAGTTACTCTTAGCTTGGCAGATCTTGAAAATATGGTGAACTTCTTTATTTTTCAAAAATGTGCTAATTATAGTGAATTTCTTTTCTTTTAAACCAATAGGAGGATGAAATTTTGAACAGATCACCAAGAAACAGAAAGCCACGAAGAGAGTGAAACAATCTTAAGAACTTGATCTGTGATTTCCTCTCCCTCCCCTTCCCCTGCAAGTGTGGTCCTAGGAGAGTCCCTGGCACACCTTAGGTTGAAACTCAGAAAACCTCAAGACGTCACCATCAACAGGTTCCAGTTGAACACTAGTCTGTGTAATTTTAAACATCTAGCAGTAAATAATTGCAGTTGTGACATAAAGGACCCTGTTTCTGTAGAAAAGAAAACATTTAACATAATGGTTGTAAATGTAACATAAAGCAACTAACTTGTATTTTTGTTTTTGTTTCTAAACATCTTTGTTTTTTAAAATAGAATGATAGAACTTTGCCAGTCTTTAAAATCTTGGCTTAATTTAATGTATTAATCTGTCCATGCAGAAATAACACCAACACTTAAAAATGCTAGGGGGATGAGTTGCAGTTCATTTTTTTTTTTAAGTTTGGTATTACAAAACATTCAAATGTCTCTGTACCTTAAAATTGATAGTCATGTTTAAAGTGCAGTCATATTTATGGTTTTAATCTTGTTTTGTTTGCTTCCATTACTCATTTTCTCCTAAGGAAATTTAGGAGAGGATTGGACGGAAGCCCAAATTTATATAGAAGTTCTGTTTAAGTTGTGTTAAAAATAGACATACAAAAAGAAAAAAAAAAACTTTTCACTTGGTGTTGGTTAGACCATAAAATGTGTGTGTTCTGTTGCCCTTCAAACTGCTTAGTTCCCAGACAGCTTCACAGTTAGTGGAGAAGGCGGCTTCATGTGGGCACTTGGGTATTCATACTCCGTATACAGGGAGCATCGGGCTCTGGCCTTCTGGAGCAGGTGGCTTGTTAAGGGACACACTAGCAGGGCATGGCATGTGAGCTCTGGAGTAGGTGTTTTCGTCATTTCTTCCACTGTGTTGACACTGTTTTCCTTACCTATTTCCCCAAATTCCCAGCTTTCTCCTCTGCTATGCATTTTCTTCACAGCGCAGCTTGCAGTCCGTTGCTGAAAATGATTATAAACTCTGCATAGTGTTAAGCTTTATTGTGATTATGTGTATTTCTTTCTTTTAAGCAGACCCACACCTTTCCAGGGTCAAAGTACAGGATACAATACAATCTTTCATTTTTATCCATTTCTTTTACTCTGTGTTAAAGACTTTAGGAGTCTAATTCAGAGGTGAGCCGATTTAGAATTGACTGTAATTGAACACAGGCTAAAAGTATTTATGGGAGGAGTGACACATAGCATGAGTTATCTGATTTTTGTAGCTGCTAAATATTTTAAGCCTTCATTTGCAATTCATGTAATTCATTTGTGTCTTAAATTACACAATAAAGCAGTCCTGTTCAAATTTTTTTTATGTGGCTTGTAGAATTTTTTTAAAAAATGATCTTAGGTTTGTTTTTCATGTGGAATGCAGATGGGTGCTATCACAGCCTCTCCCATACCACTATAGTGTAATATTATTATTACACTACACTGAAACATATTCAGAATTAGATGTTATTTTAGCTTTATTCTTTCTTCAGAGGTGTTTCAAATGTACTGATGATACTGTTCCTTGCACTGAATATATAAACACTCCACAGTGTTTATATAGGGGAGATGTTGGGGAGGACATATATTTGTAAAAGATGAAGGCTATATCCATTTATTTTATCTTCTTTTTTTTTTCTTAAACTGGTTCACTTAAATTCTTTTGAGGGTTGTATGCATTTTTCTTGCTGTTCAGTGCTTTTTCCTTTTCCTCTGTTGTTTGTGGTCACAGTGACATTAGCTGTGTAGCAGACTTTCCCAAATGTATTGAGTGCAAACAAACAGTTGTTACTTAGCAAGACCTGAAAACACATCTACAGATTTCTCCTTGAAGCAAATGTGGGAGATCCTTGCATTTCTAGAAATCTGCTGCCTTCATTGTCCACTGATGTTATATTTCATGCTTCACCTTCTTCCAGCTGAACTTTAAACCATTAAAGTGTTCATTGCTTTTCCAGGATTATTTAGTAAAGTTTATTCAAAATAAAACAAAAACAATGCCTTTTCTTGGTTCTTTTTTTCAGTTTTTGTTGAAGGTACAGCATCCTGATTAAATGTCCAGCACATTAATGAATGACTAGCAGTTTTCAGCTCTTAAAAGGCACTTATATTATGATTTCACATGCTGGTTACCTGTCCCATTGTTGTATAATGCCCACTCTTCATCAGATGTGTTCCTCAGTTTTTCTTATCCACAAAGTATTCATCAACATTTTTTCAAATTGTCATGTTACTAAATGGTGTTACATTAAAGCCCTATGTTAAGTGTCTGCTTTTGACTGAACTTCTTCATAGTAACCTTTCAGTGTGTGTTTTTTACTGTTTCAGTAGTGGGTTAATCTTCTAATTGGCTGCTACATGAGAGTTTGCTAATGTGCAGAAACTATTATAGATGAGGAAATGATTACCTTATCTCACCACATGAGTTTGATTCAGTCTTTTATATTTAGCTCTTGCCGCCTCCTCTTGCTGATTGTGGTTCATAGTTGCTACTGTATGCAAGGACAGCAGTTCAGAAAAGGAAGGGATGCCATGCCAGCCCCAAGAGGTGGCTCACACCTGTAATTCTAGTGACTTGGGAGGCTGAGGCAGGAGTATTACTTGAGGCTAGGAGTTCGAGACCAGCCTCGGCAACATACCGAGACCCCCATCTTTACAAAAAATTTAAAAAAATTAGCCAGGTGCAGTGACTTGGGCCTGTAGTCCCAGCTACTTGTGAGGAGGCCAAGGCAGGAGGATTGCTGGAGCCTAGAAGATGGAGGCTGCAGTGAGCTGTAATCATATTCATCTCTTTTTTTTTTCTGAGACAGAGTCTGACTCTGTTGCCCAGGCTAGAGTGCCGTGGCATCAGCCTAGCTCATAGCAACCTCAAACTCCTGGGCTCAAGCGATCCTTCTGCCTCAGCCTCCTGAGCAGCTGGGACTACAGGCATGTGCGACCATGCCCAGCTAATTTTTTATATATATGTATTTAGTTGTCCAGCTGATTTCTTTCTATTGTTTAGTAGAGACGGGGTCTCGCTCTTGCTCAGGCTGATCTCAAACTCCTGAGCTCAAACAATCCGCCCACCTCGGCCTTCCAGAGTGCTAGGATTACAGGCGTGAGCCACGGCGCCCGGCCCATATCCATCTTGTTAAAAAAATTATTTTAAAGGAGTGGATGCTACTGGTAATTTGTAGATAATATTCTTCAAGACCTAGAGGAACCATTGAACTTTTAAATTTTTATTAGGAAATAATCTTTGTTCAGAATCAGACTCCATATTTTACATATACTTGAATATTTCAGGGATGTTTTTGAAAATTAGGCCAAAAGTTTTTATGCACTATTAAGCTTTTAGATTGCTTGCTGAAAAGATATACACAAAATGTAGTACTTCTAGTGACTATTTTTCCTATTAAAAAAATAGTTTAATTCTGGCATAAAATTTATATGTTTGAAGTAAAAAGCAGGGCTGCATTAGGGCATTTTGACCTTGGTGGCCCACTCCCTATACTAAAAATTAGAATTTGTATTTTTCTACTGCATTTGTATAAGAACAGGATTTGACTAAGGTCCATTTTTTTCTCCTGCTTTTAAAATAAAACCTTTTCCTGAGCCCTTTTTACTAAAAGCAACGAAATGTTTTACCTGCTGATGGTGCCTCTCAACGTACAGCCTCCTAGCACCTCCTTTTTAACCTTTTAGCAATTAGGATGACAATATCTGTTCCTAAATCCCCTGGCGCCTCCCCACTAGTTTCAGTACTGACACTGTCATTGTCCCGCTTTTTCCCATACAGTCCCTTCCTCGCCCTGTACCTACTAGTAATACTGGAGCAGAATTGTCTGTGGTTGGCTTGAAGGACTGTCTTTTAAATAAATGTAAAGCTTGCAGTCCAGACTCCCTGTGTTTAATTGAAGCATCATCCTTTGCATTTCTAGTCCCCTCTAATGGAGCTGGACTCTACTTCATTATCTTTTTCCTCACATCTGCTAAGCTTTTTCTTTTAAGTAGTAATTCTGCACTTGTTCAGCCTTTCATAAATAAGTGGAAGTTGACAGCCCCAGTGATTCAGAGCGGCGCAAGAGGAAACTTCTACCGGCTCGCTCGGGGACCATTCTGACCAATTACGGGGCTGGATGAGGTGAAAGAAAAACGGCTGACGTTCAAATAGCGTAGCTACTTTTCAGCTTATCAAAGCCAAAATCAGAAGGTTGGGAGAAAATGAATCGCTGTGCTGTGAGGCGGATGGCTGGGTCCGGACACCGACTGGGATTCACTCCCTTTCCATCAGGGGTCCGGAAGTGCCCGCCCTCAGGAGACAGCGTTTGGGAAGCCTCTAGTCAACTCCAGGAAGGGCTCCTGTCAGTCACGCTTAGCTCCGCCCCCAGAGCTGAGGCCCGCCCAGGGGCTTCCCTTCGCCCTTCGCTGGAGAGTTCCTTTTAAATACCGCTCCGGAGTCCGAGCGCGCCTCTTACGTGCTCGTCGCCACGCCCCCGGGCGGCCAGTTCTTCCTTTTTTGATTGGCCGGAGCCCCTGTCCGTCCGTCGTGACGCGCAAGGTTGCCTGCCGAGGCCCCGCCCTCTTCCGAGAGGCCTGAAAACAATTTTAAGATGGCGACGGCGGCGGCGCGGAAAACAATGGGGCCGGGGCGGCGGGGACAGGCCTCGGCCTGAAGTGGGTAGCGAGCGCCGGCTGCGGGTCGGCCCGAGCGGGGCAGGAGAAAGACCCACCGCCGCGCGTGAGCCCGCTCCAGAGCCTGCGGGGGCATGGAGCGGCCGTGAGGCGGACTGGGGCTGCCGCGGGGAGCGGAGCCCGCAGTGCCAGCCGGCCCCGAGAGGCCCGGCCCGTGCAGCCCGCGGCCCATGGTGCTGCCCACCTGCCCCATGGCGGAGTTCGCGCTGCCGCGGCACAGCGCGGTCATGGAGCGCCTCCGCCGGCGCATCGAGCTGTGCCGGCGCCACCACAGCACCTGCGAGGCCCGCTACGAGGCCGTGTCGCCCGAGCGCCTGGAGCTCGAGCGCCAGCACACCTTCGCCCTGCACCAGCGCTGCATCCAGGCCAAGGCCAAGCGCACCGGCGCTAAGCACCGGCAGCCGCCCGCCGCGGCTCCGGCCCCGGCGTCCGCCCCGGCCCCGGCGTCCGCCGCGCCCGCCCCGGGCCCGCGCCTCGACGCCGCCGACGGCTCGGAGCTCGGCCGCCCGGTCGCGGTGAGTAGGGCGCGGGGGCCGCCCCTTCGGCCGAAAATGCGTCCTCTTGACGCAGCTCGGGCCGCCGGGAAACTTCCTCGTGCGCTTGCAACTCCGGGGTCTGGCTCGAGGGAGGGTAACATGGCAGGGAGCCGTGCGGTTGTCATCTTCGGGAAATGGCACTGTGGCATTACTTTGGGAAAACACAACCGAGGGGACCTTGCCTGAGGCTCGGCGTGAGAAGGCTGGCGACCGCTAGCCGAAAGGTTTTTCTCCCAGACTTAATTCTAAAATTTTGAGAACGTTATTTTGGAACATAGTAACATTGGAGTCGCCTGTGATGTAGGGAGTTCTTGCACAGTAGGCCTGCTTCGTGGATTCTCCAGATGTTTACTGGGTCTTTGTGCTGTAAGCAGGGTCAGGTCTTTAGTAGGAAAATAAGTCGGCTTTCAGTTGACCAAATCAAACTGTTCTGAATGAAAAATAAAAAAAGATCTTTGGAAAACTTATAAAATGCACATTGCTGCTCAGTGAGTTGCATAACAGCATTCCTTCTTTAGGCAGCCTGAAATTTGTGAACTCGAGATTCCTGCAATATTGTTGACAGTTCCGGTTTTAATTTATGAGGCCTGTTTAAAGTCTGTAATATTAGATTGTTGGTAAATTATTATGCCCCTTGTGTTCTCAATAGATACTTGTGAAGTTTATTGGTTAGGTTTTTCTCCCTGAAACTGGTATGTAAAAGGGAGACAAGATTTTTTTGTGTGTGTGGTTTTCTTGGCAATTTTAGTTTAAAACAAATGCTGCAATCTAATCGGTTCAGTATATTTGTAATTCTTGCCTTTATTGTCTCTCACCTGGGCTGTTGTCAGTAACTTTAGGCGTTTATTCTCTTTCTGCCTCTCTAATTGACAGAAACCCTTGTATTGCTTTGAAGATGTAACGTCCAACCTAACCCATCTTTTCATGTCCCCCACAGATCCTCTGCTCTGGTCGAATTCTTTTCCTCATTCTCTGCTACACTAGCCTGGGCTGTTGGACTAGAAGACAAAATACTTGGCTTCAAACCCAGGTTTCGTTGCTTGTTGTATTGACTGGTCAAGTCATCTCATCCTCACTTTTCTCATTTGTAAACTGGTGGTGTGTTGGGCTTCTTATCCCCCAGGGTTCTTTAGGAGTCAAAGAAACGAATGTGGATGTAAAACTACAGGATTCCGTAAACTGCAAGGCCGCCTGCAGGGTCCTCCTCAGCATCTTTCAGAGTCCCGCCATGCCGGCAGTCCCAGCTCATCTCTCCCCTCTTGTTTAAAGCTAGTTTCTGGCCCACAGCAGTCGGAATCACCTTTGTGAGAACATTTAGGAAACATATTGTCTGTGCTATTTATTTTTAGCACATGGTCACATACTACTTTAGGTCACATATTTCCAACTAGACTAAGCTCTTGGAAGCAGGGAGTGCTTGGGCTCAGAGTCCTGCACATACATGTCTGAGGCCCTCAGAGCGTGTTTGTTGAGTGATTGATAAAAACTTGTTAGTGCTTTACTCAGTAATCTGTCCTCCTGTATGCTAACCTCAAAAAGCTAAATGGCTTAACTTCGTGAGCCGCCTTTACTAACAACTCCTGTTTTCAGGAAAGACTTTTAAGAGTAGTAGGTTGTCATTCCAATTGAAGTAAATAATGAAAGCTCATAAAAATCATGGTTTTACACACAAGTAGTTGCCTTGAATACCCCTTAGAAAGTATGTTAGTAGTGATTCAATTTCCAGTTAAAGTTATTTTAAGAGTTTAGACCTTATATGATTTTTTTAGTCCTGAATCACTGGAGAGAAATTCAGTGCGCTCTATGAAGAGAAATTAATTCTGAGTGTGTTAGAACTTGAATCTAGCTTGTCCGTCATTCCTTTGGTGTCAGAGCCTGATCAGATGCGCCGTGTTATGTTGATAGACGTTACATTTAAACCCCGACCCATGGATTTCCTGATTTTAAATTTTATAGTGGAAGTGCTCTCCTGTGTCTGCTAGGAAGAGGGACCCTTTTCAGGTTCCAAGTGATTCTAGCTGAGCTCTTTGGCCTTGGAATGGGGTCATAGGAACAAA